GAGACAAAGATCGTGATCTCCCATCTTCTGGTTCACTCCCTAGATGCCAAGAAGAACCAGGGCCAGGCCCAGCCAAAGCCAGCATCTAAGACCCCAATTCAGGTCTCAGCTGGGTGGCTGGGACCCAAGTACTTGAGCCATCACTTGCTGCCTTCTAGGATGAGCATCAGCAGGTGCTGGGATTGGGAGCAGAGCTGGGATGTAAACCCAGGCACTCTGCTGATTCGTGAAGGGGTGCAGGAACCCAAGTACCTCAGTGCTGGAAGGGGTGAGAGTACCTGCTGTGCCAAACACCCATCCCTTGTTTACTTTCAGAATCAGCTCTCTGGCCGGCACTGTGGCGTAGCTGGCTAAGCCTCTGCCTGCGGTGCAGGTATCCCATATGGGCGCTGATTCTAGTCCCAGCTCCTCCTCTTCCAATCCAGCTCCCTGCTAATGTACCTGGGAAAGCAGCAGAAGGTATCCCAAGTGCTTGGGCCCCTGCACCCATGTGGAAGACCCAGAAGAAGCTCCTGGCTCCTGGCTTCAGATCAGCCCAGGTCCAGCCATGGCAGCCATCTGTGAACCAGTGAATGGAAGACCTTTCTATCTTTCCCTCTCTCTTTCTGTAACTCTGCCTCACAAATAAATAAATAAATAAAAGCTTTAAAAGATAAATATCTACTCTGCAAATCAGAACAACCTTTTGTCATTTGTCTTGTAAACAGTCATCCTCTCATATGTCCTTTGACACATTTTGTCACACAAAATCATTAAATCACTACTCAAATTTATTGCAGGCAAAGTACTCCAAGGAATAATTCATTAAAGTGCTTTTTAATCTAAAGTTGTACTATACTGGCATTTTTAACCTTTCTTGATGAATGTCAGATTGTAGCTGTTTGAGTTTTCTGGCTGTTTCTGTTTGGTCTTCTACAATCACATGACCTGCCTAAGACGATGGTGCCTTCCGGTTTCTGATTAGTGACCCCTCACAACAGCACCGCTGGATACGTGGAGGACACTGGTACACGGCTGGTGAAAATGCCTATTGTCTGCGCTCCTAGCGAGGGCGCTGCTACTGCCCCACTACAAACGCGAACACGATGGTGAGCTGGCACTTACAACTCACACCACGTCCTGATCGGCCTTGTCAGCATTGCCACTGCTTTTTCATCATATATGCAGATGATGCACTGTTTCTCATTAATTCAAAAACAGGGGACAGTGAATTAACAGGTAATTAATAAAGACACCCCAAAGTTTCTGATGAACCCTAAACCTGAAATCCACAGTACAGAGTAACTGTGTAAGCACTCTGCAAGTGCAGCGAAGTTCTCAGGACAGCAGGCTCTATGGCACTGAAAACAGGATCTAATTCAGTGACGGCTGGCTCCCATTCTCTCCAGAAGGCAACAGTCTAAGCCTTCATGATCCTGCCAAGGAGGGAAACCAGGCTCCGTAGAAACCTTGGACTGCACCAAAGCATGTGGGCAGATTATAGTGCGCATGTTCTGAAACACTGTAAACATCACCAAGGATAATTACAACCCGCACTAACAGCAATAATACACTGACCTTTCAAAATTATGTTATTTTCCAAAGATGAAGTTGTCCTTGTCCTTTTTTTTTTTTTTTTTTTTAAGGATCTCTTTATTTATGTTGGAAGTCAGAGTTACAGCAAGAGGGACAGACAGAAAGGTCTTCCATCCACTGGTTCACTTCCCAAATGGCCACAATGGCCAGGGCTGGGCAAGACCCAGGCTAAGAACCAGGAACTTCATTCAGGTCTTCCATGCAGGTGGCAGGGACCCAAACAGTTGGGCCACCTTCCACTGCTTTTCCTAGGCCTTTAGCAGGGAGCTAGATCAGAAGTGGAGCAGCAGTTACACAAACCTGCGCCCATATGGGATGCCAGCCCTGCAGGTGGCAGCTTTACCTGCTACTCCACTGTGCTGGTCCCTGTTCTCTTTAACACAGACCTGGGATAACAAAAACAATTCCAATAAAATTGTAATCAAGTCACAAAGAGCTATGTGTTCCTTTTTTTTTTTTATTTGTTTTTAAATTTTTTGCTTGTTTATGAGAGGCAGAGAGCGAGCGAGCTACCATCCACTTGTCCACTCCCTGAATGCCCTCATCGGGCTGAGGAACTCAGTCCCCGTCTCCCAGGTGGGCGGCAGGAACCCAATTACTAGAGCCACCACTGCTGCCTCCCAGGGTCTAGACGGGCAGGAAGCTGGAATCCAACCCAGGCACTCCAACACAGGATCAGGCGTCTCTAACTGCAGGTCAAACATCCATCCCGCGCGTTCCAGAGTGAGCGCGGACACCCGTGCTCTGGAAGTGGAACACGGCATGGAAGTGGATATTAAATCAAACGACCTGAACTGCTGAGAACCTGTAAAAATCAAGGTAACGACACAGGAAAAGGGGGAAAACGGAAGAAATACTGGAAGCAGGTAACAGACACATAAAGCCAGGCTTTACACCTACAGAAACGCGGCATGGGGCGCTTCACTGACTGCTGACAAAGGAAAAAGGCCAATCTTCTCAGTAAATGACACTGGGAGGGCCACATGCAAAATGACCGACCGACTGACAGCCTGGCTTCCCAACACGCACGGTAACCTCACAGTGCATGCTGGACCTGAACACAACATCAGAAAGTACGGGGCTTCAAGAAGACACCTACGTGTAAAACTTTGGGATAATGTATTTTCCAGATAGAATACCAAAAGCATAAGCAATGAAGCAAAAACAGAATACTATCAAAATTTCAAACTTTTGAGCTTCCAGGTGTATTATTAAGAAAATGAAGTCTCAAGGCCGGCACAATGGGTTGATCCTCCGCCTGCAGGGCCGACATCCCACGTGAGGACTGGTTCTAGTCCCAGCTGCTCCTCTTCTGATCCGGCTCTCTGCTATGGCCTGGGACTTGTCCTGGCACTTGGGACCCTGCATCCACTGGGAGACCGGGGAGAAGCTCCTGGCTCCTGGCTTCGGATCAGTCCAGCTCCAGCCATTGTGGCCATCTTGGGAGTGAACCAGAGGATGGAAGACCTCTCTCTCTCTCTGTAACTCTTTCAAATAAACAAATCTTTAAAAAAAAAAATCTGTAAAACATGTAAGTAGAAATGTCACCATAAAAGAGGGTGAGCGTGGTCATTAATCATTAGAGAAGTGAAAATCACAATGACATCATAAATGCAGGACATTCTGGCCAATGCACCACAGAGAGGAAAGACACCTGCTGGAGGGGAGGGACGGGGCGGGGCGGAGTGGGAAGCGCAGGCCACACACAGGACTGATTTCCAGGGCAGTGAAAGGACTGGGCGCAGCACTCCACGGGGAGCAGAGCAGCACCAAGGGCACGCCCACGGGGTATACGGACTGCAACAGGGCGCCACTCTGCAGAGGGAGGCGGCGGGGCGGGGCGGCGCTAGATGGGAACTAAGAGAACACAGTGAGATCTGGCTTTGCGGCCACTGAGACTGCTATGATCAACAAGACAACCCAGGCGTCACCATGACAGAAGCTGCACCCCTCCTTCCCAGGCAGCTGCTCCCAGAAAGTCACTGACTTCCCCAAGGTGACTGCAAATATATTTCCACGAGCACACACAGGTGGGTATCCACAGCATTTTATTTAAAACAAAAAAGCAGCAACAGGGCAACTATGTGTCGAGTGATATGAAGACAGGTGCTGCCGGGGCACAGTTTCAGGTACAAATTAGCACAGGTGCTGGAATCTTTGTGAGCCTCAGAACATGAGAGAGAGAGAGGAGGAAGGTGTGACCCCGTCTATATGAAACGGCAGATAAGATGAACGTAAACCCCAGAGTGGGTTAGTTATGACAGCAAGGACTGACAGCAAGTGGACGCCGGGTTTCCACACGCACTGCTGCAGAAGGCTGGGATTCACCAACCACTGCCGCACTCTCCAGTTACAACTGGTACACGCATCTTGGTGTATGCATTATGTTTCACCGAGGCCAGCCACAAACCCTGTATTATATAACAGTATGCTTAGGCTATTTAAAAATAAGGAATGAAAACAGCTTCTTTGGAGAGTAGGAAATGGGAAGGCAAGAGGAGAAGGGAGCGGGAACTAGCTGAGGGAGGCCAGCAGCGTCTGCAGGTGAGAGTGCTGCCTGCACACCCACATCCCCCGTATCCCCTAGCACAGTGCTGGTTTGAGCCCCAGCTTCCAAACCAGCACCCCTCTAAGGCACCTGGGAAGGCAGCGAGTGCTAGCCCAAGCACTTGGGCCCCTGCCACCCAAGTGGAAGACCAGAATGGAGTTCCCGGCTCCTCCTGGCTTCAGCCTGGCCAGAGATAGCTACTGCAGCCATTTGGGGAGTGAACCAGCAGGTGGAAGTGCTCGCTCTCTCTGTCGCTCTTTCAAATAAAGTTAAAAAAAAATTAGTCTGTTTATTTGAAAAGTAAAGCTAGTGAGGGAGAGACAAAAAGATTTTCTATCTGCTAGTTCACTCTCCAGATGGCCACAATGGCCAGGCTGAAGCCAGGGGCCAGAAACCAGGAGCTTCTTCCAGGTCTCCCACATGGGTGGCAGGGCCCAAGCATTTGGGTCATCTTGCACTGCTTTCCCAGGCACAGTACCCAGGAGCTAGATCAGCAATGGGGCAGCTGGGACACGAATTGGCAACCATATTGGATGCTGGCATCACAGGTGCCAGCACCCAAATAAATAAGCCCCCAAAAAAAAAAAAAAAAAAAGTTGGTCTTTCACATTAAATTCCCATATAAATTGGCAGGGGGACTTAAATTTTATCTCTAACCATGGAATTGGCAATGAACTTCTGATTAGCACTTATTAAGCAAATTCTCTTTTGGGGTTTTAGTACCAGGACATTAACAAATAATGTCACAACTAGAACAAATTTATCATCACTGCTAATTTCTCATCAAAACAATACAGCAATTTACAAGTCAAAATGTAACCTTGGAGACTAAGGAACTTCGTTTTCTAGAACTGGTTCTAAAGGCAGTGGGACTTACCAGAGTCCTCCGCGGGCTCGGTCTTCACTTTGATGGGGCCACAGCTGGAAGAGAAGGAAGAGGGTCCAGTGGGGTGGTGGTAGAGCCCCTGCCTCCACACTCAGAGGCACTGGGGCTCCACGCACGCGCGCCCGACCCGGGGGGACGCCCAGCACAGCCAACCCACAGCTGACATGCTTATTTCTTGCATAAGCAAGAGTTGCCACCTGAATTTAGTACTTTAATTCTAATCTACCTTTTGAGGAAAAAGGACAACAAAGCAACACGGAGTTGCTGGTTAACTTTCAAAGCCACTTTCCTACAAGGCTTTCCAATTTGCAGTGCGGAACAATACCGGCCTTCTCCTAGGAGGCACCACTACACAGAACTACCAAGCCCCAAAGCAGTATGTTCACGAAAATCCCCAAGTGACTTAACTACATATGAAACTCGGAGATGTGTGACACAGGCCTTTCTAATATCCCAACAATTAAAATCGAAAACTTGGTGAGGAATCTCATAGAACTAATCAAATTACGCTTTACCTTCCACCTGGAGACAAGATCGACCTGTCAGGATCTGTCACCATCACGCGACCACCTGTGCACCAGAAAAAATTAGATTTAGGCTTTCTCAACAATTCAAACATGCCTAGTATTTCCGAAGGCTTCCCCGAAGAGCGAGCGAGTGAGTGAATGGCGGGTGTCAGGTCTGGGCTATTTCTGTAGGTACTCCAGCAGTTCTCCCTAGATCACAGGAATAACCACTCACAGCTTTTCTTCTCCTCGCTCATCAGCAGCTTCTTTAAAACAAACCAAGTTCTCTGAGAGGCAGAGAGACAAGAGAGGTGATGGCTCAAGTACTTGGGTCCCTGCACCCGTGTGGGAGACCCAGGTGGAGTTCCATGTCCCTGGCTTGGGCCTGCAGGCATTTGGAAAACAAACTAGTGGATGGATGAGTGAGCTGATGGCTCTACCTTTCAAATAAATAAAATAAAATAATACATCTGGCTCAAAGAACTGGGCAAGAGTGACTGCTAACAGGTATGGTGGGGTGTTCTAGAATTCTACAGAAGTGACAGTAGCATAGTTTACAGATACACTAAAAATGATGGGGTTATACTACTGAAAATGACAAATTATTTATTATTTAAATTATACTTCAGATTAGAATTTGCAAAAAAAGGGGGGAAGGATTCCAAATTTTCAACACCAGATAAATGAGTAAACTGTGATATGTCAGCATTGTACATGGGTAAAAATGGACTACTGATCAGCAATTTATGAAGAATCAACTATTGATATCCGAAACAACCTGGACAAAATTAAAAATAAGAGGCCAAATAGTAGGCACATTGTGATCCTCTTTACACACAAATCTGGGAAACGCAAACAAATCCACGTGGCAGCAAAAAGGACGCAGCAGGCAGGCGCAGAAGGAAGGGGCGTGAGAAAACTGGATCCTGGGGTATGAGTCTCACCATGCACACGCGGGCCCAGGATGAACCACCCGGGGGTTTTACATCCCGTGTACCTCATCGTATGTCAAATATACCTCAAGGAGTCATTAAATGTTTTTTTAACACTGGAGACTAAAAATGCCATTACAACAACTTTCCAATTATACTTTCAGGGTTGAATGGCAAGAAAAGCTGACCCACTCATTAGGGAACACCACACAGCACTGGTCTCTAACTAACAGCCAGAACGCCAGGTCTCCAGATGAGTTTCTAGGGGCCAACGCTGTAGCGCAGTAGGTTAGGCCGCCACCTGCAACGTCGGCATCCCATGTGGGCGCCAGTTTGGGTCCAGCTCCATGCTAATGCACCAGGGAAAGCAACAGAAGATGATCTAAGTACCTGAAATTCTGCCTTTCAAATAACATAAATAAAATCTTTATAAAAAAAAGTTTCTAGAATAAATGGCTTCATAAACTATAAATGGGGGCCAGCAAACAATATGGTGCAGCAGTTGAAGCTGCCGCCTGCAGTGCCAGTATCCTGGCTGCTCCACTTCTGATCCATCTCTGTGCTGGGAAAGCAGCAGAAGCTGGCCCAAGTCCTTGGGCCCCTGCACCCGCCTGGGAGACCTGGAAGAAGCTCCTGGCTCCTGGCTTCGGATAGGTCCAGCTCCACCTGTTGCAGCCATCTGGGGAGTGAACCAGCAGATGGAAGACCTCTGTCTTTCAAATAAATCAATATTTAAAAAAAAAACTATAAATGGCACACTAGGACCACCTAAAGTACCATACAAATACTGATCCAAAATGAATACATTTTCTCAAAAAACTAAATTACGTAAAATAATGTGTTGATTATCTTGACTAGGACATTCTACAACACATACATATATCAAAATATGTTCTTGTACAAGACAGAAACAATTCTAGGACGATTTAACAAATTAATTTTAAAAGCGTTTTGAGCCAGTGCTGTGACTCAATAGGCTAACCCTCCGCCTGCGGTGCCGGCACCCGGTTCTAGTCCCAGTCGGGGTGCCGGATTCTGTCCCGGTTGCCCCTCTTCCAGGCCAGCTCTCTGCTGTGGCCCGAGAGTGCAGTGGAGGATGGCCCAAGTGCTTGGGCCCTGCACCCCCATGGGAGACCAGGAGAAGCACCTGGCTCCTGGCTTTGAATCAGCACGGTGCACCGGCCACAGCGGCCATTGCGGGGTGAACCAACGGAAAAGGAAGACCTTTCTCTCTGTCTCTCTCTCTCTCACTACTGTCCACTCTGCCTGTCAACAACAACAACAACAACAACAACAAAAGGCATTTTGAGGCAGGCATTGTAGCTCAGTGGGCCGCCTCTTGAGACATCCTCATCCCATATCATAGTGCTAGGTTTGAGCTCCTGCTGCTCCAGCCTTCCCAATCCTGCTTTCTGGTAATGAACCTGAGAAGACAGTACATGATGGCCCAAGTGCTTGGGTTCCTGCCACTCAGGTAGGAGACCTATATAGAGTTCCCCGGCTCTTGGCTTTGGCCTGGCCCAGCCCTGGCCATTGTGGGCATTTGGGGACAGAACAAACAAATGGAAGACATCTTTTTCTCTTTCTCTCGGTTTCTCTTTGCCTTTCAAATAAACCTCTGATAAAAATGTTTGAAGTCTAAATTTACTTTTTTTCAAGTTTAAGATTTACTGATTTATTTATTTGAAAGAGCAATAGATAGAGAAGAAAGGCAGAGAGAGATCTTCCATCTGCTGGTTTACTCCCCAAATGGCCAAACCGGCAGGGACTTGGCCAGACCAAAGCTAGGAGCATAGAGCTCCATCCGGGTCTCCCACATTTGAGTGGCAGAGCCCCAAGTACTAGGTCCGTATCCTGCTGTCCTCCCAAGCACAACAGCAGGGAGGTGGATCAGAAACACAGCAGCCAGCACTTGAACCTGAGCTCCGATATGGGATGCAGCACAATGCCAGTCCCAGATGGCTGGAATCAAAAGACAACGAGGTAGGTGGAGATGAGCCGAAATTGGGGCATTCACACCGCTGACAGGAGTAGGAAACAAGGCAGCGCTGTGGCAAACACTCAGCAGTTTCTTAAAGGCTAAATGCAAATTTCCCTGAGGACCCACCAATTTTACTCCTGGTGTATATCCAAGAGAAATTAAGATTCCGGTTCAGACAAAACCTTGTCCAAGTATTTTCTCCTTAGTGTTACTCATCTTGGTCCAACGTGGAAACAATGAAAATAGCTATCCACTGGTAAACGGAGACAAGGAAACAGGCAGTGCACCCGGACAATGAAATGAATACTTAGCATCCTGCAGGAAAAAGAACAAACTACTGTCCCATATGGACAGCTCACAAGAAGCTCAAGTGAAAAAAGCTAATCTCAAAAGGATACATGTTGCATATTCCATTAACACAATACTCAAGGAATAACTCAGGAGACAACAAAAGCATTCTAAAATTAGATTGTGATGATGGCTCTAAGTCTGTTTTAAAATTGTTCAGATTATAAACTTACTAAAAAGCATTTAATTTGGGGCCAGCACTGTGGCACAGCTGGTTAAAGCCCTGGCCTGAAGCGCCGGCATCCCATATGGGCACTGGTTTGAGTCCTGGCTGCTCCACTTCCAATCCAGCTCTCTGCTATTGCCTGGGAAAGCAGCAGAAGATGGCCCAAGTCCTTGGGCCCCTGCACCCACATAGGAGACCTGAAAGAAGCTCCTGGCTCCTAGCTTTGGATCGGCGCAGCTCCAGCCGTTGCAGCCAATTGGGGAGTGAACCAGCGGATGGAAGACACCTCTCTCTCTCTCTCTCTCTAACTGCCTCCCTCCCTCCCTCCCTCCCTCCCTCTCTCTGTGTAACTCTTTCAAATAAATAAATAAATCTTTACAAAAAAACTTTTAAAAAAAAAGCATTTAATTATATACTTAAATCAGGTGAACTTTATGATATGCAATATACCTCAATAAAATTGATTTTAAAATCCACCTTTTCAGCCGGTGCCGCGGCTCAATAGACTAATCCTCCACCTAGCAGCACCGGCACACTGGGTTCTAGTCCCGGTCGGGGTGCCAGATTCTGTCCTGGTTGCCCCTCTTCCAGGCCAGCTCTCTCCTGTGGCCCAGGAAGGCAGTGGAGGATGGCCCAAGTGCTTGGGCCCTGCATCCCATGGGAGACCAGGAGAAGCACCTGACTCCTGCCTTCAGATCAGCGCGGTGCGCCAGCCGCAGTGCGCCAGCCATGGCGGCCATTGGAGGGTGAACCAACGGCAAAGGAAGAACTTTCTCTCTGTCTCTCTCTCTCACTATCCACTCTGCCTGTTAAAAAAAAAAAAAATCCACCTTTTCACCACAATGAGAAAAAAAAGTTAACAGAAAATAAAAAGTGTGTGTTGTTTTTTTTTCCTGTACGTGTCTAAGAAATGTCCAATGATACCGGTTGTTTACTTTCAGAAGACTCAAATAAGCCTGGCTCCCAAGGGTAACCACTCTTTGTCACGTTTTCTCTTCAAATGAAATGGCCAGATGTCCCTAAAAGAAGTCCCGCGGAATCCTCCCCTCTCCAAGGGCCCATCTCAATGTCTTCTTCGCAAACGACAGGTGAACCCTGCCTCCACATAAGTGCCACGGCACCTGCTGACTCGGGCGTGCAGTGTGGATGCCCGTCCCTGCCCTCACCACTCTGTAACTGTGCCTCTTCCATGGGAGACCAGCTCGCACAAGTCCTAAAGATGCCCCCGCACAGCGGTGTGCCCGGTTCTCAGCAGTGCCTCACCTGCTCACTGAACAGCGGGGTAAATCAAATCCTACTCACAATCCCGGGGAAGGGAGACACATCCCGTGCTCGCCTACGATCTCAGGACTGCAAACGTAAAACCCTGAGTCCATCACAGAACGAGAAGCTGAGCTGAAAATAAAAAACCACGTCGCCACATTTCCAGCTCCGTGAGCCTTCACGGGGTTGTAGCCACAGCTTAACGTCGCACCCCAAACGGTCTCACACCATAGGCTCCAAGAAAATTAAAAAGCCACTGTAATGAATTAAAATCCGGCAAGAAAAAACAGAGTTTAGACGAAGAGTCAGCTGCTGGGCATGCACAACAGTCACTTACCTAGGTGCTTCTTTGGCTCTAGGAAAGGCCTGCATCAAAACAGAACAGAGATGGTTATGTAAAGACACAGAGTCATCGAGAGGCGCCAATCAAGTGGCTTCCACACCCACACAACTCCTGCCACACTCGAGTTAGATGAACACGCTGGCCATGGGCAAGGAGGGAGGGAAGCACTTCACCTCTTGATGATAAATGAAATCCCTGCTTTGTTCTCCAAAATCCACTTCAGGGTTGCAAGATCGTAATTCTCAGGGTGTTTAAAGGCGACCCCTTCCGGAAGCCCCTGGACCACCACAGCCGACTGGTCTCGCAGCATCTTCTCATACGGAACAGGTACCACTGTGGACTTGCCTAGAGCTTTCCCTGAGAGAGAGGGCAAAGAGGAAACTGATCATCACGTGGCCAACGTCGGAACACCGGACTGTCACTAACTTACCAGGCACTCCTGCTTCCCCAGAACCTGCACTGCAGCACTGCTTTACAAGGACTCCGATACTCCCACGCTAGAAACTTGACCCTGGGGCCGGCGCAGTGGGAAGCAGGTTAACCACGCTAGCATCCCACGTGTGTGCTGCTTGTTCGAGTCCCGGCTGTTCCACTTCCGATCCAGCTCCCTGCTAATGGCCTGAGAAAGCAGCAGAAGATGGCCCACGTAATTGGGACCCCCTGCATCCACATGGGAGACCCAGAAGAAGCTCATGGTCCTAGCTTCAGTCCGGCCCAGGTCTGTCCTTTGAGGCCATTTGGGGAGTGAACCAACAAATGGAAGACCCCTCTCTCCCTCTTTTTTTACCTCTGTCTGTAACTGTGCCTCTCAAATAAACAAATAAATCTCAAAAAAATTAAAAAAGAAACCTGAAACTGACCCAGAATTCTAATGAAAACTACATAAAAGACGTGACTCTAAACCCACACCAAAGCAGAAAACCAGTGGCTTAGTTCTTCCCTGTTCTCCTTCTTTAAGGTGGGCCCATTCTGGTCATACATAATTCAGCCTCAGAACACGGCAGCCCAAGAACTCCAACTATTACCACAAACTACCAGGAAACGTTAGCTGATACGATCAGTGAACGCTTACCAGGTAAACACAACTTCCGTCCACTTCCCGCTCTGTTCGGACTGTCCGCATCTGTCAGACACCAACTCCTCAGATGCTAGAAACAGTGCAAAGTCTACCTCTATCTTCTCCCTCTTGGGCTTCCTTTTTTTTTTCTTTCAAGATTTTATTTATCTGAGAGGTAGAGTTACAGAGAGAGGGAGACACACAGAGGTCTTCCATCCACTGGTTCACTCCCCAGTGGTTGCAATGGCCAGAGCTGAGCTAGGAGCCAGAAGCTTCTTCCAGGTCTCCCACGTGGGTGCAGAGGCCCAAGCACTCAGGCCATTTCCCACTGCTTTCCCAGGCCAAAGCTGAGGGCTGGATCAGGAGAGGAGCAACCAGGACACAACCCAACACCCACATGGGATGCCACAGGCGGAGGCTTAGCCTACCCTGGCACAGCGCCAGCCCCTTGACTGGCTGCTTAAAAGAGCTTTATCGTACAGTGTGACCAGATTAACCAGAGGTGGCTGTGCTGCTGTCTGGGTTCTTCCAACACAGAAGCTGCTCCTAACCATACACTGCGTTCTTGGGGGCTAATCCTTTCAATGTGTAAAAGCGCATTATCAGATACTCAATTATACCACCCACTATTGGGAAAACCCAAGTACGTAATGCAGCTTTCTGAAAATGTAAAGTGCGCTGCTTTTACCGTAGCAAAAGCAGAAATAGTCCTCCACGGTTTTTCTGAGTGTCTCGATTTCCACAGCATCTACACTCATCCGATTGCCCTGGGCTGGAGATTTCATTTTATGCATCTCTGCAGCCTTTTCTTCTTCTTCAACACCTGTAAAACAATCCACAATACAAGGGGCACAGTCCTTATCTTCATATTTGACTCAGTAAGAATATTTCCCCACATATTCTAGTATCTACGACTTGTTATGAAAACAAAGCAAAAAGACTGAGAACTTTTCAATGACTTAAATGAAAATATCACAAAATGGAAATCAAATCCGAAGTAAGTAGCTTCAACAACAAGAACTAAGAATTAGCTTTTAGTAGGTTTTTTTTTTTAAAGGAATCACAAAATTTATCAGCTGCAAATTTAAGTTTAGAGAAACACACACAAAATGTTGGACTTACAAAGTGCAACACAGAAACACCAGACCCCAGACACCGCTGTGCTGCAAGGCCAACAAAGTAACACCTACTGTGTCCAACAACACATCCTGGCTTCAAAGACAGAGCACAAAATGAAGCAGGTAAACATCCCATTCACAACTTCTCTGTCGACTGCTGAAATGCCTTCCATTTATTAGATTACAATAATATCATTAACATCAATTTCACTTGTTTCTCTTTAATGTCATGTCTGTTGAGTGGGATCTCTTTCTGTTGGACAGCACTTTTCTAAAACCTTGGAAGGGCTTAGAATTCTGCTACGACTTTCTAAAAGCAACCCACAAACCTACTGGTTAGGTTTCCAAAGACCTCTCTGGCTGCTCAGCTGCAAAGCAAACACAGGTGGTCCCTGAATGACAACGGTGGCTCGATGCAACCACTGTTCTTCACTTGCGGTACGGAAACTACACAAGATATTCAACGCTTTGCTTTACAACACAGACTTTGTTTTAGATGGCTTCTCTCAGGGTAGGTAAGTGTCCAGCACATGTTTGGAGACTACTGAGCTAGGCTAGGGTGCTTGGCAAGCTGGATGTGTTAAATGCATTTTCAATTTACAGCGCATAACCCTGATGCAAGCTGAGAGGCATCAACCAGGTACTTGAGAACTTCTCACAAAGGCCATTTTCAAGGGCATCAAAGAACTGGCAATGAAAACAAAGCACAAACATCAAGGGACAGCGACCACAACAAGCAAGGATGAGTTTCCTAGTGCTTCCTTCTAACCACTGGAGAAGCACACGAGCGAGCAAGGCAGCACAGCTGCGAGCTGGGCGACAGCGTGCATGGGACGGATGGCACAACAGCCTAGTCAGCACAACTTAAACACACACGGATCACACACACCATCCTAACAGCCTAGTCAGTACAGCTTAAACACACACGGAATCACACACACCATCACCACACCATCACAACAGCCTAGTCAGTACAAGTTAAACACACATAGAATCACACACACCGTCTCAACACCCTAGTCAGTACAACTTAAACACACACACAGAACTGAGGCATTAGAATTTCTCAAACTGATAAGAAATGTTGACAATTTTAAAAATAGATTACAATCACAAAGCTTAAAAGACTGAATTGTGGTCTCTCTCACTGTCCACTCTGCCTGTCAAAACAAAACAAAACAAAAGAAAACAAAAGAAAAAGAAAGAAAGAAAAAGGCCGGCGCCGTGGCTCAACAGGCTAATCCTGCGGCGCCGGCACACCGGGTTCTAGTCCCGGTCAGGGCGCCGGATTCTGTCCCGGTTGCCCCTCTTCCAGGCCAGCTCCCTGCTGTGGCCCGGGAGTGCAGTGGAGGATGGCCCAAGTCCTTGGGCCCTGCACCCCATGGGAGACCAGGAGAAGCACCTGGCTCCTGGCTTCGGATCAGCGCAGTGCGCCGGCTGCGGCAGCCATTGGAGGGTGAACCAACGGCAAAGGAAGACCTTTCTCTCTGTCTCTCTCTTTCACTGTCCACTCTGCCTGTCAAAAAAAAAAAAAAAAAAAAAAAAAAGACTGAACTAGGAAGGAAAAAGAATGTAATGGAGGGGTATAAATGTCTTTGTAAAAGGTCTAGAAATACAAGTGGAAATTGAAATAAATGGATTACAACTATTTTCACTCATGATCCACTCAACTGACTTGTCCCTGGAAATCCAAGTGTGGATGTTCGAGACGTGTATAAGGGGCGTACCTTCTTGGCTACTGCTCTTTATTTCACGAAATGCTTCTATCAGAGTTAGCACACAGCCTGCTGACGGAATGAAGCACAGATATACAGGCGTTCACACCCTTCCGTGTTTATCCCAGGGTCAAAGAAGCTCCCCAGTGCCCTCCGGGGGAAGATCACAGACTCACTGCGGCCTGGCAGGCCAGGTCCTGAGGGAGTGGGGCACAGACTGAACTCAACCCGGCAGAACTGTTTATCTGAGTAAGATCTTTCAACCAACTCAGCGCCTCTCCCCTTCTGGGTCCCCCGGTCTCGAGGGAAGCCCAGCAGGCAGCAGGCGGCAGGGCGCGAGGCAGAGGCCCACCCCGGAAGGATCCACCTGCCACTTCCGCCCTGCAGCGACTCGGTTCAAGGCTTCTGACCGCTTCCCTGAACACTCAGAAAGTCTTCTGTTCGTACGAATCTCATTCTGCTTGACAAGAGTAAGACGATCTCACACACACACGCAGGTTCACAGCTTCTGACACGGACACACGGACGGCAGGAACACGATGCTTACAGTATTTCACAAAGTCTTTCTGAAAATCCTTCCTGGTATTGACAAAAGCACGCCCTCTCTCGGTCCCGACGACGAACACATCTGTTTCATACACTGCAATGCAGGCCACTTCTGCCTTGGACTTGGCCAGCTCTTTACACTGCAACAGACACAGCAAACACGGTCACACAAACATGGCCAAGAGCACCACTTCCGCCGGAGGAGTTCAAAACCTAACACTGAAAACTGTCTTAATTCATATTTGCAATCAGGTTAGGTTCTGGCCTTAAATATCATATATACAGACAGTCCTCATTTTAAGGTACCTTTCTTTGTAAATAATTTTTGTGCCTGATTTTAAATAGAAAAAAAAAAACACAAAATTCCTAAGAAATCTCTTATAATTGATTATAGGTCTGATCTCTCAAGAAACAGATGTGCCCAGCGGCTTGCTGGGGCGTGCTCTCTAGTGCGAGCACCGCCGGCGAGGCGCGGGGTGCAGGTTGACAGGGCGGGGTGCCCCTGGGGAAGGCTGGGCCAGGAGACTCTGACATTCCCAGCAGCTGGAGGAGCTGGCGCCTGGGCCCTGTAACTCCACCTGCCAGTGTATACACAGCTGCCACCACCCCGAGGCGAGCACAGCGCATCCCTGTGAGATTACAGACCCTTTAAAACCTTCATGGAGCACAGAATATTCCATTCTATGGATACATCTTCATTAAATGAATTATGAAATATTACTGAACCAGTCACTGGCTCCAGTTTTCCCTCCTACAAATGGCACTGCAGTATCATCTGAGAAGAAAATACGCGTGTGCCTCTTGAGTGACCAGCCACAGGGGGAACAGTGGCCCGGGGGCGGGCTGGTGGACAGCAATTCTGGTCCACTGCGTGGCTGCAGGCCTCTGAGGAACCACCATCTCCTACTTACCTTGAGATAAATGAGGGCGCATCCCTGCTGCACCGTCCACTCTTAGCTGGACAACCCTGTCACCAAAGGTGCCATTTATAAAACGGCAAAGCAAGACTCACGCACCAGCCAAGGATCAGGTGGTGTGTGTGTGTGTGTGTGTGTGTGTGTGTGTGTTTTAAGATTTATTAATTGAAAGTCAGAGTTAAGAAAAAAAGGAAGAAACAGAGAAAGAGATATCTTCCTTCTGCTGGTTCATTCCCCAGATGGCCACAATGACCAGGACTAGGCCAGTCTGAAACCAAGAGCTTCTTCCCAATCTCTCATGTGGGTGGCAGGTCCATCTCCTACCGCTTTTTCCAGGCCATCAGCAGGGAGCTGGACTGGAAGCGGAGCAGCCGGGACTTGAACCAGTGCCCATGTGGGATGCTGGCATCACAGGCGGCAGCTTTACATGCTACGCCACAGCGCCAGCCCCTGATCTCAGTCTCTTGAGGACCCTGACAAGCCATTCAGGAGCCCGGCCCTTTACAAACACCTACAGTTACGGTCTGTAACACACAAGGAGGAAGAGCAGGAGAAGACTCTTGCTTCTACCAGGGAGGAGGGAATAAAGGCCAGGAATAATCAGCGGGCTGCGCGAGAGAATGACCCGGATGCTCCAAGAGGAGACAGGTCTTCTGTGACCCTGTGGTTCCCTATGCAGAGAATGGCATAAGACACTGATTTTACTACCAACAAAATAGCATTTAATCTCTTAAGTTTTTTAACATCAACGGTCACAACTTTTGGCTGGCTTTATGATCACAAAGCAGAAATAAACTATATTCAATTCATAAAATAACAGTCTATAACTACTAATCACTCTGAAATTTCTGTTTAAGGAGATTTTTTTTTTTTAATTCTTAAAAGAATAAAAAGAAAAGAATGCCCTAATGGCAAAACAAAACAGACTGCAGGCACACCAAGCCGCGCTCTGAGAGGCCTCCTACTGCCTACGGCTGGTTCAGTCTCTGCAACCGGAGCGAGCCACAGCCTCCGGACTCGGACTGCTCAAAATATGTCAGAAAACACCCAAGCTTGCAGCTGGCATCGTGGTGCAGGGGGCTGGGACACTGCCTATGACGCTGGCATCCCATATGGGTGCCAGTTCAAGTCCCAGCTACTCCACTTCTGATCCAGCTCCCTGCTAACACACCTGGGAAAGCAGCGGAAGATGGCCCAAGTGCTTGGGTCTCTGCCACTCATGTGGGAGACCAGCTAGAGTTCCAGGCTCCTGGCATCGGCCTGGCCCACGGCCATTTGGTGAGTGAACCGGCAGATAAAGATGACTCTTTCTCTCCCCACAAATAAATAAACCTTATAAAAAGAAAAAACACTCAAGCTTGAAGCTTTTTATAAATTAAACACTGGGGCTGGCACCGTGGCACAGCGGGTAAAGCTGCCACCTGCAGTGCCAGCATCCCATATGGGCGCTGGTTCAAGTCCCAGATACTCCACTTCCCATCCAGCTCTCTGCTATGGCCTGGGAAAGCAGTGGAAGGTGGTCCAAAGCCTTGGGTCCCTGCACTCGTGTGGGAGACCCAGAGGAAACTCCTGGCTCCTGGCTTCAGATTGGCTCAGCTCTGGCCGTTGTGGCCATCTGAGGAGTGAACCAGCGGATGGAATTCTCTCTCTCTCCGCCTCTGCCTCTCTGTAACTCTGACTTTCAAATAAATAAATAATATCTTAAAAAATCAATTTCATAAATACTGCATTTCCTTAAACACCGTATGAATATCCATAAAAACCTGATCAACAAATTGTATAACTATCATCATCGTGACACAGAAACACAGAACTACAGCGAGAGCACCATTTCGTTATAATTATGCATATGGTCGGTTTTTTAAACTGCACAACTGAGTAAAGGGTGGCAGAGTAAAGACAGATGCTTGTGGATGCAGAAGCAGTGAAATAGAGAACAGATGTAAGTGCTAAGTATGCTTCATGGCCCAAAATTTGGGAAATACAGAGACAATAAAACACCAGCATCATAATACATTCTACAAATCTACTCTAACTTTGATTATACGTAATTCAGTTAACACCTGCAAAATATTGGCTGAGAAAACGTGAAATTAATTTTTTTAAAGACTGAAAATAGGTAAGTTAAGAATATTCTAGAACATGGTAATAAAATGCAACTTTAAAAACTTGAATCTATAGCAATTATTCACGCCGAAAGACCATTCTTTTCCAAAGGCCAATCAAGCTCTGCACAGCCCAGTGCTAGCCGCCTCCGGCCCTGGCCACAGACCCATCGGCGTCTCACCATGGACTCCAGGGCTGACATCAGGAACGTCACCACCATCCTGCTCTCCGAGGACTCCTCGTCTTCCACGGGCAGCGTGGACATCGCGACTTGGGCCATGATCCCTGTGCGAGAGAAGGAAGGAGGAGGTGAGCACTGGAAACCGGAGTCTCTCCTCACAGGGAGAGCTGCAAGGGCCCTACCCAGACGGCCTCACTCACAGATTCCTCGCGGGCAGTATTCCGTTTGTCCAAGGCTGTGAAGACACAGACTCCATCTCTTCACTCTCTTCCCAGCACTAGTTCCATAAGTGAGGCCGGCATCGCATTCAAAGGGAACCAGCCAGAGCTTCTCCCAAGGAGCCAAGGAGGAAGAGCTGAGATGTGCCCACCACTCCAGGCCCCAGCTCTCCCTGCACACACTGACCCCGCCCACAGGAGACTGCCTCCCTTCTCAGAAGAGACAGGGCATCAGCAAGCACTCCCATTCCTCCGTGATACAGCATATCGTTACGTTTAGAAAACATCTTCTGATACTTTAGTATCAGCCAAGAGCCCCAGCTGAATTCCCAACACTGCAAAAAATAGGAACTACTGGGAAGGATGTAGAGAAATGGGAACCTTTGTGCATGGCTGTTGGGAATATAAAACGGCGCGGCTGCTCTGGAGAGCAGTTCTAAAAAAAGTTACACAGAATTATAGAATCCGGCAATATCATCTCTGGGTATACACCCAGAAGGCCCGAAAGCAAGAATGCAAACAGTAACCAGCAGCCATGTTCATGGCAGTCTTACTTCCAGTAGTCAAAAGGTGGAAACCACCCACGTGTCTGTAACAGATGAACAGATAAACAGAATGCGGTATCTACATAGGCAGGCTTACTCAGCTTTGAAAAAGAAACTGATAACAGCTACAACCCAGATGAAAGATAACATTATGCTAAACAGACACAAACGGACCCGCGTTGCACAAGTCCACTTAGGTAACTACAACAGTCAAGTAGCGAGCGGAGTGGTAGCCGCAGAGTAGGGCGAGGGAACGATGGGTATGGTACAGAGGGTAACTTTGCAAAAAACAAAGAGTTCCACAGCTAGGCAATAGCATCATTGGCCCTGACATCAGAGAACCTGCTACCTAAAAATATTTGCCACTGAGGTTTTGTTACATATACCTTACAAAAATCAAAAATCAAAAAATAGGAGCCGCCGGCGCCGCGGCTCACTAGGCTAATCCTCCGCCTAGCGGCGCCGGCACACCGGGTTCTAGTCCCGGTCGGGGCGCCGGATTCTGTCCCGGTTGCCCCTCTTCCAGGCCAGCCCTCTGCTGTGGCCCGGGAGTGCAGTGGAGGATGGCCCAAGTGCTTGGGCCCTGCACCCCATGGGAGACCAGGATAAGCACCTGGCTCCTGGCTCCTGCCATCGGATCGGTGCGGTGCGCCGGCCGCAGCGCGCCGGCCGCGGCGGCCATTGGAGGGTGAACCAACGGCAAAGGAAGACCTTTCTCTCTGTCTCTCTCTCTCACTGTCCACTCTGCCTGTCAAAAAAAAAAAAAAAAAAAAAAAAAAAAAAAAAAAAGAATAAAAAAAAATAGGAGCCAGCATTCTGGCGTGGCAGAATCACCAACCACCTGTGATGCTGAGGTTCCACTTCCCACCCAGCTCTCTGCTAATGGTCTGGGAAAGCAGCAGAAGACGGCCCAAGTGCTTAGACACCTGCCACCCACTATGGAGACCCAGAAGCTCCTGGCTTTGGTCTGGCTCAGCCTTGGCCATTACAGCCACCTGGGGAGTGAAACCACAGATGGAAGACACCTCCCCTCAAACCAGAACTCTAGCTCGCAAATAAATACATAAATCTTTATATACTGATTTTTTATTAATGAAATTAAAATTAGTTACCTATTAAAATTGTCCCTGTAAATGCAGTTGAATTACTTCTATTTTTAGCAAGAGATTAAATAATCAACTGAATGTAACAAATTGAAAACTGGAAGCATGAATCAGAATTCTAAAAACCTGTGTGTATGAATTAACATACTGAAACACTGGGCTATCCTTTAATTAAAGCCTAATATTCCAGAGAACATGAACAATCGTTCGCAGAGCTGTTAGCATGATATGTAAATCTTTTTCCTACTATTATAGAGGATGACCTGTTTCCCTATTACTAAAGACTGGGATCCAGCTTTGCCGTCTATTGTGATGTGGCTTAGCTGCTGGGCCACCTGCAACCAGGAAGCAAAGCTCTGGTTTCACAGGATGGGGCAGGCACTTGGCACAATGCTCACATCCGTATCAGAGACCCTGGGAGGATGCAGATGTCCCGCAAGTCATGTGGGAGATAAGGATGGAGTTCTGGGCTCCTGGCCCAGTCTCAGCTTTTGTGGGTATTTGTGGAGTGAACCAGCAGATGGAAGATCTCTCTCTCTCTGCCTTTCAAGTAAATTGAAAATAAATAAATAAAAAGTATAAAAGCTGTAATAAAACACTGACAGTTATTTCCATATCTGTAAACAAACAGAAGAAATTCTGTTTCCCAAAACCAGGTCCCCATCCTAAGCAGACACAGAACCAGGGAACAGTTATCAAGCAACTGAATGGCTAGGGGATAAAAACTGTTTTCTTAACAGTCTAAGTTCCGTTTTTTTTTAGGCTGGCTAAATTAAGTCTAAGTAAATTTGCACTAAAATGTGGCTTAGTTAAAAAGGACAACAAAGGCATATTATTTGTCTATAATCAAGACACGGAGCTGGCATTGTGGTGTAGTAGGCTAGGCCACCGCCCCTGAAGTAGGCATCACATATGGGTTGAAGACCCAGCTGCTCCACTTTCAACTGATAGAAGATGGCCCCAAGTGCTTGGGCTCCTGGCTTTGGCCTGGCCCAGCTCTGGCTGTTGCTGCCATTTGGGGAACCAACCAATGGATGAAGATCTCTCTCTGTCTCTCTCTCCCTAACTCTTCCTTTCAAATAAATAAAATATAATTTTTTATAAAGATTTATTATCTACTTGAAAGGCAGTGCTACAGAGAGAGAGAGACAGAGATAGGTCTTTCATCCACTGGTTTGCTCCCCAAATGGCTGCAACAACTGGGGCTAGGCCAGGCCAAAGCCAGGAGCCAAGAGCTTCATCTGAGTCTCCCACATGGGTGCAGGAGCACCAAGCACTTGGGCCATCTTCTGCTGCGTTCCCAGAAGCATCGGCAGGGAGCTAGATTGGAAGTGGAGCAGCTGAGACTCGAGTGGGTACCCACATGAGACGCTGGCACTGCAGGCCAGGGCCTCAATCTGCTGTGCCGCACCACCAGCCCCAAAAAATAAATCTTTAAAAAAAAAAAAAGAGGCCAGCGCCGCGGCTCACTAGGCTAATCCTCTGCCTAGCGGCGCCAGCACACCGGGTTCTAGTCCCGGTCGGGGCGCCGGATTCTGTCCCGGTTGCCCCTCTTCCAGGCCAGCCCTCTGCTGTGGCCAGGGAGTGCAGCGGAGGATGGCCCAGGTGCTTGGGCCCTGCACCCCATGGGAGACCAGGAAAAGCACCTGGCTCCTGCCATCGGATCAGCGCGGTGCGCCGGCCGCAGCGCGCTGGCCGCGGCGGCCATTGGAGGGTGAACCAACGGCAAAGGAAGACCTTTCTCTCTGTCTCTCTCTCTCACTGTCCACTCTGCCTGTCAAAAAAAAAAAAAAAAAAAAAAAAAGACATCCACTTAGAATATACTGTCATTATCTTCTTTATAATTCACTGTTTCCTGAGTCCCCATCAGTAGAAAAGGCAAACATGGTCTCAGTTTTCAAATGCAGCAACTCCAAGGTCATACAGCCACCGCCAGGGTCAGAACGCGGAACCAGCGCGATTTTCTGTCCACAGCTGTTCTTCAGCTCTCGCCTTCCGTTGCCATAAACCTGCTCTGACGTCATTCACGCAGTATGTGTTAGGAAACAGGACGGGAGGCAAGGGTGGGCATTTGGCCTAGCAGTTCTTAACCGCTGCTTGGGACATGCCCCTTATTGGAAGTGTCTGGGTTCAATACCCAGCTCTGGCTCCTGACTCCAGTTCCAGTGTACTAATGTACACCCTGGAAGGCAGCAAGTGACGGCTCAGGTACCTGGACTCCTGCCGCCCAAGTGAGAGCCTGGACTGGGTTCCTGGCTCCCTGGTTCAGCATGGCCCAGCCTCAACTATCGAGGGGATCTAGGAAGTGAACCAGCAGAGAAGGGGTACACGTGTGCATGTCTCTCTCAAACACTAAATTTAAAAAAAAAAAAGTTTTTTAAAGGTAGGAGGCAGACATCACAGTTGCAGCCCAGGAGGCTGTTCCCTGGGTGCCTTTAGCTGCACCTCTCACTTGATGCCAGCTCCCCCACTTCCCTTTCCCAGAACAAACTGTCACAAGACAGTGGCATCCACACTGTGAGCTGGAGGACACCCCCAGGCCTGCAGCAGGAGGCCAAGGCTCTGGTCCTCCCCAAAACCAAGAGAGCTAGGGAAGGGCTCCCTGTACCCCAGCTGCTGCGTGACCCCAGGAGCTGGCCTCAGATGGCTTTCCTACAAAAGCAGAGGCTAACCCAACCTTTATTAAGGAAGGTTCTTTTAACCCTGAACCTTTCCCAAATTCCCTCAATTTAAGGAATTTCTTAGGGGCCAACATGGCACAGCAGGTTCAAGTCGCGGCTGCTCCACTTCAGATCTACCTCCCTGCTAATGTGCCTGGGAAAGCCGTGGGAGATGGCCAAGTGCTTGGGTCCCCGCCACCCACATGGGAGACCCAGATGGAGTTCCTGGCTCCTGACCTCGCCCTAATACAGCCCTGGCTGTTGTAGCCATTTGGGGAGTGAACCAGAGGATGAAAGATCTCCTTCTATCTCTCTTCCCTCAACCCTGCCTCTCTCTCTCTTCACTCTGCCTTTCAAATAAACATTTACTTAAAGACTTCTTTTATTGATCATCTCTGTTAACATCCACAACAATCCTGCAAGAAAGAATGAGTAAGCAGAAGAGCAAAACACAAATCTATGTAGACCTAGAAGCACCTCAAAGGAGCTGGGACCCCAGAGCCCCCAGGCCAGGACAGCCTCTCAGGATGTGTTCACAACCCCACAGAGCCTAATCCACTCTCAGTGTGCTGACCTTG